TCAATCCACAAGTTTGAGGTTCCTGGACCAATTGAGATGCAGTCATCTCCGGTACTGATCTTAGAGTTCAAGATTGTGACTCCTGTCGTCAGTTGGACGTGAATGCCATCTGTGTTAGGGCTATTGCCTGAAGCCAAAACTTTTACTCCTTGAAGCTCTTCGTTGTCACATCCGTTGATTACTATATGGAACATTTGACTATTTAGCGACGTTAATCCATTGATTGCAACATCTTTTGAGTTTGAAATCCCCAATGTCTGAATGTATACAGATTAAACAAAGAGAGTTAAAACTATGATTAATTAGTAGTAGAAAAAAAAAGTTAACTAGACAAAATTTAAAATATAATGAGAAATTATGTCAATAGGACAAGTAGAAAGCAAATCGAACATTAGTAAATTTGAATATAAGTAACTAAAAAGACTCCAAATTTATTAAGAAAAACTCATTTAGTGTTGTAACCTACCTAACAAAAAGCATTAATTTGAAGAATTTAATATTGAATTGACCGTGACCTATCACTTCTTCACTAACAAGGCAGCTATCCCATTTATGATAAAACCGTTTAGCATGAGAATGACTATCAAGTTTCCAAACTTCTTTGAAAAACAAACTTCTGGCGAGATGAAGAAAGGAATACAATCGATAACCTACTGAACCCAGAGAGAGGACAGAAGCTTATATACCGTTGCGCCACTAGGGCAACTCTTGCCGGTACTCTTACAGGCCCACAAGCCATTGCCTTGTCCATCAAGAATGGCACCTTCAATTGAAACCCCATCTGCTCCCTCAAATAAGAGCCAGTTACCTACATTTCCGATCACATCATAATCCGAAGGTGCCACGAGTGTACCGTCGATTCTAACTCTTATAGCTTTGTTCTTGCATTGTCCTTTGAAGTGTGCATTCTTAACCAAGTACCTTCCCCGAGGTGCGTAGATTGTGGCTGGACCAGGCGAGCCACAAGCTGCGGACCATGCTTTCAAGAAAGCCGTAGTCGAATCAGTTTTGCCATCAACCTTTGCTCCTAAATCTAAAACGTTGAATGTAACTCGATTAATGGCTAAGGATCGACTGAACAAGGCGAAAACAAATGATTCAATAAGAATTATAGTAATCGGATTAATTGCCATTGGTATTGTAATTTGAGAATTTAGAGTCAATTTGATGTAATGAGGAGTTGAAACAGTTAGTGAGCTATTTATAGAGGAATCTGAATGCAACAAGTTGAGAGGCTTAAAAACAGAAAAGGAAAAAGAATAGCAGCCAATAGAAGGATGGGAAGTTTGAACTTGTAACAGAAAACTATCTACTTTTTAAACAAAAGCTCTAAGTTCAAGTCTTAGTGTAACAATAAGTGTCCCAAACATGGTCATTGGATTCGGTTCTTTAGCCCCGACATGGTCCATG